AGTTCTTTTCATAAAGTACGTGTACTCCTCGTTACATGTTACTGTTGTAGTCACAGACCATGTAATCTAGTAGTTCTTTTCATAAAGTACGTGTACTCCTCGTTACATGTTACTGTTGTAGTCACATGCCATGTCATCTAGTAGCTCTTTTCATAAAGTACGTGTACTCCTCGTTACATGTTACTGTTGTAGTCACATGCCATGTCATCTAGTAGCTCTTTTCATAAAGTACGTGTACTCCTCGTTACAAACACCGTTGTAGTCACAGACCATGTCATCTAGAGCTGCTACTGACTGTGTCATCAATACGAGCATTTCAACTCATCATCAAATTCATAGCTGAATTCTGTATATGGCGGTCTTATAAGCGTCAGTAATGATCAGCCATTTCCAGTTTGTAAACTTTCAAAATTTTTTGTGAGGAGTCTGTTGTTGCTTTAATTCATTTCGGTGGATCAGAAGCCCAATGCTATTGTATCGACGAGTGTTTGTGATGTCTGTGCTGTGTTTCACCTGGTGTTAAGAAATGAGTCTACTGCATAATACTTTGTTTATGTTAATAAACTTAAACTTCTTCAGTGTTGTGGCAGTACGAATTAGAGGTAGCCATAAATATTAGATCTGCAAGATGACTCATGTAGTTATACTTGTATATTTTACTTAACAGTTACTAATAGGCTTTTGTTGTTGTTGTTATGGCGCAAAGCTGCACGATGGACTATCTGCGCACTTCTACCGAGGTAATTCTAACGTTGGATTTCATTTACCATTACAAGTCCATAGACTTTCCGCTTACCCTCCGGGGGGACGATATTCTTTTTATTGCAATATTTTTTTTTTCTTGAAAAACCTTTGCCTTTACCTCAACAATTAACTCCATGGCAACAATATTTCTTCAAGTTAGACATGTATATTTCACTGAACAATTAATACTCTGTAGAGCGTGTTCAATCATCTTCTTTGTTGTACATGTGTCAAGAAAAGGTAGAGCAGAGCATTGTTGAACGTAAAGTTAATTTTAACATGTTTAGAATTTAAATATTCTACAAATTTCACTAATTGATCTCCATTTTTGACTATTACAAATATGTCGTCAATATAGTGATCCTAAATAAACGGTTTGAACCGGTAGGACAATCCCTCAGCAAACTGTTTTTACATGACTCCGAAATTAAACAATCAGCAAAGTGCTACTGACCTTTTACTATCAACTTAGCTAACTGAATTGTGATCAATACTATTTCTAACTGCAATATTTCTTCTATTTAGACCTCGTATATTTTAAAGAATAGTTAATGATATTCTTCTGACCGTAAGGTTTCTTCTAGTTAGGCCTGTATGTTTTACTGGACAATTATTGATTCTCTTTTGATAGTAAGGTTTCATCTAGTTAGGCCTATATATTGTTACGTCTCCGTTTGTTAATTGATTTTTCCGTAACTTCGTTCCTACGAAATTTTAAGCGACACAAGTCTTTACTTAATAAAACTGGTTTATTCTTTCCGAATACAACTTTACCGATACACTCAACTTCAACAATCGCGCTAAACAAACGCTGTAACGTCTCTCGTGCTCTCTGACTGCAGTTCAATTACTCACTATCTATACACACATTACCTTTCCCTCTTTTATATACCAGTCTACCCTCCATCTAGTAATTACTAGAGCATTCGCCAAGATACGGGATAGTTCTAGAAACGTGGCGTCACTGTAGTCATGTGACTCGCTGACGCAACAATATTTTACTGAACAATACTATTTCTAACTGCAATATTTCTTCTGTTTAGACATCATATATTTTAATGAACAGTTAATGATATTCTTTTGACCGTAAGGTTTGTTATAGTTAGGCCCTTATGGTTTACTGAACAATACTATTTCTAACTGTAATATTTCTTCTGTTTTGACTTCATATATTTTAATGAACAGTTAATGATATTCTTTTGACCGTAAGGTTTGTTATAGTTAGGCCCGTATGGTTTACTGAACAATACTATTTCTAACTGTAATATTTCTTCTGTTTTGACCTCATATATTTTAATGAACAGTTAATAATATTCTTCTGACCGTTAGGCTTGTTATAGTTAGGCCCGTATGGTTTACTGAACAATACTATTTCTAACTGTAATATTTAAATATTGCAGTTAGAAATAGTATTGTTCAATAAACATACAGGCCTAACTAGAAGAAGTCTAACGGTCAGAAGAATATTATTAAATGTTCATTAAAATATATGAGGTCAAAACAGAAAAAATATTGCAGTTAGAAATAGTATTGTTCAGTAAACCATACGGGCCTAACTAGAAGAAGCCTAACGGTCAGAAGAATATTATTAACTGTTCATTAAAATATATGAGGTCAAAACAGAAGATACCTCGTCACTTAACTCACTCTTTCATTTATTAAACTAGAGGGGATCATGCAAGAAACCGTATTTATTAAGGGGGAAGAGACGTAAATTACAGAAGTTTGGAAAACATTAAATTACGTTATTCGATTAAGAGTAGCTGCTTCAGGCAACGAATGTTACTAACTGGTTGATTTTCCTTTGACTTACATTTCAAAATTAGGGATAGCTCTGCCTAAACCAAAATGGCCTCTGGCCCAGTCGTTTAGCCCATTGTGTGCATAAGGCGTTGTTCAGGTGAACAAACAAACAATTAACTGTGAAAGTACTAAGTCCTTTATGGCATAGTGACTTGTAGTCTATCGGTATAAAACTACAAAATTTGTCACCCTACTCATTCTGGCAAAAACTCTCTTTTCATTTATAATTTACTAATTTTTGAACAGATTGTTTTAATAAAAATTTGGTATGTCTTTTAAACATTGAAAACAGCTATTTAAAGAATCAAGATCTTTTACTTCCTAGTTAAAACTGAAGAAAAAAATTGTTTTATTTTTTCTTTATCGGCCAGGAACACCATATATCACAGTTTATCTAAATTATACACAAAGATGTTCGTATAAAGATGATATGATATATCGTTGTGGGCTATATTTTTGTTTTATTTAATGTTTTTGCTTACTGGAGGGAGTTTTTCTCATACTTTAGTAATGACTGGTGAATTATAGAAATTT